ACGCTTACAGGGGGTAGAGCGAAGCGTGACATAAAGCGGTGCTTTACTGTATTTAAACGTGGAGCGGTTGCCTCGTGGGCATGCGCAGACGTGAAGGTTCTTTCATTTTTGTTGGCGTTACTGACCTTCTGAATCAGAACCGTAAACGTGTACGGGCTTATTTAAATTTAAATGGGAACCAGACCCTTCTCGAAGAGGAAATTTCAGCAGATGCAGCTGTTGATACGAGGATTACCTGCTGAAATTTCCTTTTCAACACCCGCTTAGTGGGGACTACCACCTGAATGTCCCACCAACTCTTAGACCAAACATAGTCCTGCAGTATCTTAAAAACTAAATCCTAAATCCCATGGCTGTCCAAACTAAAACTGACTAGCAGAATGTGGAGACAGAAACCCCCACTGATCCAACGGGTCCATTTTGGGTGGGCCTACAATTAGATTTATTATACAGCACAAGCTTTTTGGGAGTGCAGCCCACTTCAACATATCATGAAGTGTTTTCCAGAATATCATCTGCTAGTCTTAAAGATGCTCTGCAATCTTTTATTCACACATACTTAAAAGTAAGATAATACATGACACCAAAAGTAAATTAAGTGCATAAACTTTTGACCATGACAATTCATCTTTAATAGTCATTAATATTTTGGCACTATATAAACAAACATAGCACTGGTCTCTATATATTCTGTTGTATGATTTAAAAAAAAAAAACATCCCCAGTTCAGACCTTTAATTTAGAGTGGAGCTTCTTTATTGCTCATTACAATACATTGCATATGGCCTTTATATGTTCTATGTCAGGTGGTTCTTCTTATGTGCCCTCAAGTCACCCACAACATACGGTGACTCCATAAATGAGCAATTTCCAAAATGCCCTGTTCTAAATAGTCCCGCTCAGTTCTTGCAAACAAAAGCCTGCGGTTCTTTTAGGAAGTCAAACCATTTCATATTTAGCCTTCTTCTTTTCCTGCTGTTTTCAACTTTCCCCAGCATTTTTGTCTTTTCCAGAGAATCTGGGCTTCTCATGAAGTACCCAAAGTATAATAGTCTCAATTTCAACATTTTTGCATCAGGAGATAGTTCGAGTTTGATTTGATCCAGGACTCACTTGTTCATCTTTCTAGCAGTTCTGGGTATCCACAAAACTCTCCTCCAACACCACATTCAAACAATTTTTTCCCTCTTCAGCTTTTATACCCATACACAATAGTTAGGAAAAAATAGTGTGGATGGTCTTGGTCTCCAGTGACTAGAGATGTAAAATTTTTTAAAATTTCATTTTTTTTCCTGGAAAATTGTTTTCCCTTGTTCTGAGAAAAAATAGTAATTTTCAGAGATTTTACATTTCTGCCAGTGACATACATTGTGATATTTTCTAATTCCTTCATCGCTGTCCTTCATAGTCTCAGCCTCCTGATTTATTGACTGCAGTCTCCTATTTGCATTGATGATTGAACCAAGGTACTGTATACAAAATCTCTGACCATTTCAATTTCTTTATCGTCAATGTTAAAACTGTTTAGTTCTTCTGTAGTTGTTATTTTTGTTGTCTTCTTATTTAACTGCAGTCCTGCTTTGGCACTTTTCCCCTTCACTTTCACTGAAATGCATTTCAAGTCATTTTCACTCCTGTTTCATCTGAATCTAGTCTAGCTTTCTGTATAATTCTGTATACAAATTGAATTGATACACCCTTGTCTGATAAACCATTCTGTCTGTCCATATTGCCCTAACAGTGGCTTCTTATCCACAAAGTTATTAATCAGAACAATCAAGTGCTGAGGCACACCTATTTCTTTCAAAACAACCTGTAATTTCTCATTATCTATATGGTCAAAGTCTTTGCTGTAGTCTGTAAAGCATAGATTGATCTTCTGGTCATGGATTTATGTAGACTGGAACTTTTTAATGAACTGCGAGCTGTCTGTGATATCAGGTTGGTTTTAGTTTATTTTGCATAGAGATCAGCATGTTTGCCCTATATAGAATGTAGAAGGGAGTTGCTATAAGATGATGGTATATATTGTGCTGGAAAATGAGGTGGATGATTCCCTCACATTGTGGGTGGCATTATTAGGTCTGCAATTGTGTTGTTAGATGTGGGGCAGTTAGCATCTGAGATAGTTACTGGGTCTGATCTTTTTGATAATTATTGTTATTGTTTAACACTGTGGGTCATCTATAAGCATGCCTACAACCCAAGTCCAGTAAGAGAGTGACCTTTGTTGACAATGAGCTGTAGCTCATGATTGATACACTCAAATTATTGCAGGCACAGCTGTCCCTACAGCAGCATCTTCGTACTAAGAAATTTAACCTGGACTCCTGACTCTGACGTAAACAGTTGATTAAAGTGGAAAGCTGTATGTCCACAGTTGTATATCCACCATTGGTGTGGGTATTAATTCTAATACTTAGCAGTGGCAGCCTCCACTGCCAGCCCACCCACTATAACAAATTGCCCCCCTCCCCATGCATTATTCCTCCTGATTGGGTTAGAATGCCAAAAATAGTTCAGTAGAAAGAGGGTATCTCACTTTTGTGTGAGAAGTGGTAATGGTGTCTTGGAAAGCAGCATCCACTGCAGCAGAAATGTATTTACATAATTAGAACACTAATATAATGCATTCATATTTCTCAGGAGAAAGATGAATGGAGTTGCACTGCTGTGCACACTTCTATGGAATTAATTAAAGTACAGTATTGCATTTGAGGGCAATGGCATTACTACGTTTATACCATCAACAGAACCATTTGAAGTGTTACTTTTTAGTACAATGAGTAACATGGTTGTCACCTTGTTATCATTAGCACTGACTTTCAATCACCGAGACAGACCTTTTTACTCTCCTTGCATTATTGACTCTTCAGCAATAGTCTGACTGCCAATTTTTAGCTACTTCAGCTATTCTAAGTGGAAGCTGAATGCAGTGGTGCCTTGACTTACAGACGTCCGGACATATAACCATTTTGAGTTACGACCAGCTCGGGCTGCAAAATTTTGCTTCGACCTGCGGCCAGAGTTTCAAGTTACAACCGGAAAAAGGCATGGAAAAAAGGCGGGGAATTCAAATTGCTAACCATTGGTGGCAAAGAGACTGCTTCATTGTAGCTCTTTTGCCCCAGCGGTTAGAGAGTGCAATCGGAGGAGGCTTTGGACTGCCTGGTAAGGTAAGGTGCTGCTTTCTACTTTTTAAAAACTGTTCTGGGTGGATTTTGCAGCATGGTTTTGGCTGGGTGGTGAGATTATGTTTGCATACTGCGATGGGTCTTGCAGGGTTTGTTTTTTGGTGATCCCCCCCCATTTCTAATGGGTTTTGCGGGGTTTGTTTTTTGGGTTTTCCCCCTTGTTTCTGATGGGTCTTGCAGGGTTTGTTTTTTGGGCTTTTCACCCCATTTCTAATGGGTCTTGTGGGGTTTGTTTGCTTTTTGGGTTTTCCCCCCATTTTCCGATGGGTCTTGTGGGGTTTGTTTGCTTTTTGCTTTGCTTTTTTGCATTTCAATGGGTCTTGCATTGTTTGTTTGCTTTTCTTCCCTCCCTTCAGCTGGAAAGGATTAATTGCGTTTCTGATGGGTCTTGCAGTTTTTTGTGGGTTTTTTGATGATTTTTTTCTCGCTGAAATGCATTGCATTTCAATGCATTCCTATCTTCGACTTACGACAATTTTGAGTTACGACCGGAGTTCTGGAACCAATTAAGTTCGTAAGTCGAGGCACCACTGTATAAAATTGTATCCATCATCATTATGCATTGGTTAACGGAAATTTCCATTAGTTCAATTAATCTGCAGAAATATCCCTACCCATGCATTATTGCTGTGGGTGAAATTTTGCTAAAAGTAGTTAGACAAGATGCTAAAAGTAGTTAGACAAGATGGTCATTTCCTCTTTACCTCAGGTAGGAGAATTTAGGTCCCACAAAATGAGTGTAAACAATATTTGACTTATTATTCATTTCTCATTTGTAATGGTATACACGTAGAGAGGTAGTAAAGGGATTATGTCTTTTGTAAACAGAACATGTGCTTGCAAGATGGTGAATTGGAAACAAAATGAAGGTTGCTTAGCCATATGTGGGGGAGGGGGGGAAAACGGCCCTTTTCCTGGTCTTCCTTTTCTGCTCAAGCATTTGCTTTGTATTTTCATCTTTATTTTATGATACATTTTCAAGGTGTGATATTGGAATTGGCCACTGGGAATTTGTGGGACTGAGAATAACATGTTGTTGATGTGTAGTGCAACATACTGTTTGTAAACTTGAATTTTTCATAATTATAATGACTTCTGCTGCCCTTCAACAGAAGAAATTACTTTTCAAAAAAGCAGGATCCCAAACTCTGGAACTGAATCAGACACAAACATATTGCAAATATCTGGACTAGGGTCTTGTTCCTTACTGCATTCGTTTGAGAATTTTAGTAAAACTTCTCAAATTTTCTCCTCAGTCTAGAACATACATATATGCATGTTTTGAACTCCCCTTCTGATACCCCTTGCCTGGAGAATCAACAGGATGCTTACTGTTCTGTCTGATCAGCACTTCTGTCATTACCCTTTTGTGCTGTAGCTCTAAATAGGAGATATCAGCATTTTAAACATGATGAGGGAAGTGGTCAGCTGTAAATACTCATAATTACAGGGAAGCAAACAGCCTTCTTCTCTTACATCCTGTTAAATATCCATTTAATAAGACCAATAGTGAGTCTCAGGAACAAGGACTGTGAGGGGACTTCATCAAAAAGTTACTCTCCAGTCCAGTTCCCATCTTTCTCTACACAAGGACTACATTCCCAATTTTCTTTCCTCACATGATTTAAAGTCACATTATAGATTGGTCAACTTTGTCCCATGGGATGAAATCTAAAGTGCTAAAAATTAAGCCAAACTTGGGATGGAACCTAGGGATGGGCCATTTTACATTACAAGCTTCTTTCTTCTTCAACTCTTCCACACATTTATCATTCTAATAATGGTGGCAGAAACAAACAAGAGACACCTAATCTAGAATCTACTTTATTAGAGATTTTTTTTAAAAAAACAATACAGGTATATTCAGTCTGAAAAAGATACATCTTTTATTTTTTACGAAGACAAAGCCATTTTGTTGGTACTTCATAAGAAGTTCTTTCTTCCAGTCTCTCATCATAGGGAATATGCCACGAGTCACCTGTAGTCTGCACAATTGTATCATATGTCATTACAGGCTGTTAAGGAAAAAAAAGATAATAATTACCCTGGTTTTATTTAAAAATGAGAAGTCTTGTGTATCTCTTAGCACATATTTCCTCCTCTTTTAAAGCAGGAGACAATACCACTGGGAAACAGAGTAGTTACTAAGGATATAAAATTCAAGTCTACTCATCTCCATAAATAATATTTTACCAACTCAGTCTTTTGAGGTTAACATTTCTTGTTCTGTTTTAATCTATATGGATTTCATTTAGCCTGGCGTACTACTGTTAGAACCAAACCTAGTTAATAAAGGTTTGTAACTTTTTAGCTGGTAAGCCCATGAGGGTGCAGTACTAGCATAAGACGCCTCAGCACTAAATAAAAGGGAAGGACAAGAGGGTTTTGGTTGCCCCTAAGCTGTCCCCAAGTTTATTTTGTTCAGATAGCCTTAATAACAAGACCCCTGGTTTGAAAATACTGCTATTAAATGCTAGGTCAGGGAATGGCTAAACAACAGCCATCCAGGACCTTATCCTTATTTTAGCTGGTAAGCCCATGAGGGTGCAGTACTAGCATAAGACGCCTCAGCACTAAATAAAAGGGAAGGACAAGAGGGTTTTGGTTGCCCCTAAGCTGTCCCCAAGTTTATTTTGTTCAGATAGCCTTAATAACAAGACCCCTGGTTTGAAAATACTGCTATTAAATGCTAGGTCAGGGAATGGCTAAACAACAGCCATCCAGGACCTTATCCTTATGCTGACCTCACTTGCATTACAGAGACTTTGTTGGATGAGGCTGGGGGTGTTAATCTCACTCAGCTTGGACTACCAGGGTTCTCTGTGCAACAGAAGGTAAGACCAGGGGTGTGTGGAGGTGGCCTAGAGTCATTTATTGTGACTATTCTTCTCAACAAATGTCACATCCCCGTTCCTTAGGTTTGAATATATTTATTTATTTTATTTATTTATTGGACTTATATACCGCCCCATAGCACTACAAGCACTCTCCGGGCGGTTTACAATTTTTTTTTTAATTATACAGGCTACACATTGCCCCCCCAGCAAGCTGGGTACTCGGTGCAGAGGTGGCCTAGCAGTCATTTATTGTGACTCTATTCTTCTCAACTAATGTCACATCCCCGTTCCTTAGGTTTGAATATATGCTTCTGAAAGTAGGAGCCTGGGTCAAAATAGGTATTCTCCTGGTGTGCCGCCCACCCCATAGCGCAACAACCTCTCTTCCAAAGCTAACTGAGCTGGTGTTGGGGGTTGTGGCTTATCATGTTGGGGGGACTTTAACATCCATGCTGAGGCACCTCTGTTGGGAGTCCCAAAACTTCATGACCTCCATGATGACCATGGGTCCCTTCCAAATGGTATCTGCACCCAACCACATTGCAGGCCACGCTTTAGAACTGGTTCTATATCAGTGACCTAGGTGTAGAGGAACTTTCTGTAATTCCATTGTCATGGACAGACCATTATGTAATTCTGTAATTCCATTGTCAATGGACAGACCATTGGATTCACTAGAACTCAAGAGCCTTTGCAGGGGTGGGGGTCAGACTAAGAAAATTAACTCCAAAAGGCTGATAGATCCAGATGGTTTTGTGGCTGCTCTTGACAGGTGACTCTGTTGAATCTCTGGAATGCGGAAATGGCAAAAGGCATCAACATGATTGTTCCTAAACATCTCCTCCTTCAAAGCAGAGCCAAAGTGGCCCCTGGTTCACCGAGGAATAAAATGAGTGGGCATAGATTTGAGCTATGACGGTGGAAAGACCTAAGGCCCATTGGAAGGCCTATTCTATGGCAGTGGCAGCAGCCAATAAGTCATTCTTCTCTCCCGCTACTGCATCTGCATGGAATCGCCCAGCAGAGTTTTTTCAAAAAGTCAAGGACCTGCTACATGCGAGCCCTCAGGTAGATAATGCAGACCACACTGTAGCTCGCTGTGAAAAATGTGCACAACACTTTGCAGGCAAAATTGTTCAGATCTGCTCTGACTTGGATGCTGTAGCTGTTTCAGGCTCTGTGAATGAAACTGTGTCCCCTGCTTCTCCTGTGTTAATGGATAAGTTTCAGCTGTTGCAGCCTAATTATATAATCAGGATCCTCAGGGAGGTGAGAACTACTGTGCCTGCTGGATCCTTGCCTTTCCTGGCTCATAAAAGCTGGCAGAAAGGGACTGGTTGATTGGGTAGGAGGAGTGATGAACGCCTTCTTGCAACAGGTAGGATCCCATCTTGTTTAAAGGAGGCAACAGTAAGACCATTGTTAAAAAAGCCTTATTTGAACCCCTCAAGACTGAATAACTAACAACCAGTATCTACTATTCCATTCTTGGGGAAGGTACCACAGTGGGTTGTGGCCTCTCAGCTTCAGAGGTTGGTTCCTGGATGAGACAGGTATCTAGACCCATTTCAGTCTGGCTTCAGGCCTGGTTATGGGACAGAGACAGCTTTGCCTGATGACCTATGACAGGAACTGGATAGGGGAGCTATGTCCCTGTTGGTTTTGCTGGATTTCTCAGTGACTTTTGATACTATCAAGCATAGCATCCTCCTGACCCGTCTCTCTGGAATGGGACTTGGGGGCACGATGGCTCCAGTCCTTCCTGGAGGAGAGAACTCAGAAGGTGGTGCTGGGGGGCTCCTGTTCAAAACCCTGGCCGTTGACCTGTGGAGTCCCTCAGGGCTCTATTTTGTCTCCTGCGCTATTTGACATCTATATGAAACCACTGGGAGAAATTGTCCAGAGTATATTTGACATCGACATGAAACCACTGGGAGAAATTGTCCAGAGTTTTGGAGTTCAGTGTCACCGGTATGCAGATGACACCCAAATCTACCTCTCCTTGCCACCTAAATCCAAGGAAGCTACTTCGGCTCTGTATCAGTGTCTGGTATCATTAATCGACTAGATGAGGGTGAATAAAATGAAATGTAATCCAGACAAGACAGAGGTGCTCCTGGCCAGTTGAAAGGCAGATTAAAAAATAGGGATGCAGCCAGAACTGAATGGGATTAGACTCCCATTGAAAAAACAGATGCACAGTTTGGGGTACTCCTGGATTCATTCATGAACGTGGATGTCCAGGTCCCAGTGGTGGCCAGGACTGCCTCCTTATTCATTGTAGTTTTTAAACATTGTCTTTTAATTATTTTAACACCGCTGTATACTAATTGTTTTCAATTTTAATTAAAACACATTTCTGTGTTTTCCATTTCTCAGAGTGCCATTTTTAAAAAAATTATGTACTTATTGATCTTTGCCTTAGGAGCCTCATGGCGCAGTGGTTAAACTGCTGTACTGCAGCCAACACTGTGCTCCCAACCTGGGATTCCATCCCAGGAAGCCGGCTAAACGCTGACTCAGCCTTTTATCCTTCCGAGGTCGGTAAAGCGAGTACCCAGCTCACTGGGGGCACAATGTGTAGCTTGTATAATTAACTTGTTAACCACCCAGAGAGTGCTTAAAGTGGTATGGGGCAGTGTGTAAGCAGCACACATTGGGGGTTTTTTGGTCTTAATATTGTCTGTTAATGATGTAAGATGTCTTCTTATTCATTGTTTGTGGTTTTTAAATATTGTCTTTTAATTATTTTAACATTGCTGTATACTCATTGTTTTCAACTTTAAATATTGGCTTTCATAGGAGAAAGGCATGGTAGATAGATAGACAGACAGACAGACAGACAAAGAAAGAAAGAAACAAACAAATGGACAAACGGACTATGTTATCAACACTACTGCAACCAGCAGTACCTCAAAGCGCACAATCTCTTTTGGTACGTATACAGAAAGGACCATCTGATGGCTACGCTGCCATTTAAAAAACAGGTGCTGAATAAGGGAATCAGAGACACAAGCCTTGTGGTCACGTAACAGATCTCTGGTAATAAACTTGCAGTGTCTACCAGAGTGTAGAGCAGCATAGATTAGGAATGGATCATCCTCAGACCTAAAATGAAAAAAGGCAAAGAAGAACATCACAGATTGCAGTACAGAATTTTCTCTGGGACATTTTTTAGCCATTAAGGTGGCACAAGACTCTCTCTTTCTTTTTGCTACAACAGGATTGCTACCCTTCTATCCCATAGTCAAATATAAGTCACCCTAATTAGTAATGAGGGTGACAGGTTGTTTGGTCTTTTCTTACCACGATAAATACACATATTTATTAGGAAACAGTATTTTCACAAAGTCTGTTTGACGGAAAAGCAACCTCCTCTTTCCAATATGATCTTTTTAAAAAACAGCAACAAAAGACAACTTGCTATCTAACAGAATGTATTCTGAACAAATATTTAAGTGTGGGTGATACTAAGCATAAATATTTCACCAATCCAAGTAATAGCATTGAGTGTTTAGGCTTAGCTTTGCACAACTATACAAGACATTTTTTCAAAGATGTAAATATCAGCCTTAAAACTTAGGAGGTTTCTTTAACCATTACTAAATAGCTTTAAAAATTAAAGTTTACCTCTGAGTTTAATTGTATCAAACTGGCAGAGTTCTTAAATGTATACATTTTCAACTACAAAAATAACTAGTGGTATTTTCTATAAAAGATCATTGAAACAAAGTAGTATTATGTACTATTCGGTATGCACTTCACAATACACCACCTTTTATTTGAGCTGACAAGACCTTCCATGTGACAAGAAACATGATTTTTCTTAATATACATGTTTGAGTTCTGTCAATGTCAAATCATAAGCAGAAATTAAGATACCAATTAAGGTACTATTTAGCATATACACTGTATATTTTTGTTATGTGTTGTCAGGTTGCTTCTGACTAATGGTGACATCAACAACTTGAGGTATGTGAGATGTTTGAGGAGTAATTTACCATTGCACCTCCTAGTGAGTTTCTGTGACTTAAATGGGCATGTGAAGCCAGGTCTTCTGAGTCCTAATTTGACATTCTATCCATTACGCCAGTGTTCCCCAACATTTTCCAGTCCACGGACTGGCTGGAGAAGGCGGGGCACCCCCGCGCTCGCACACATATACGAACAAGCACGCTCTCTCTCTTGCACGAGCGGGAGGGTGCCTGCCCGAGCGCTGCGCTGCCATTTGCGCATGTGGGCGTGCGTGGGCCCGCGTGAGCGTGCACTACCATTTGTGCATGCGCACAACTGTTCATGCACATTTGCAAATGGTGGTGTGTGCTCGTGTGGGCCTACGCCCACCCATGCGCATGCGCAAATGGCAGTGTGTGGGCAAGCTGGACCACGCGCGCAGGCGCACACGAGCGGCGCAGGGGTGAGTGCGTACCAGGGGCGGGGGAAGGTGTTTCTCGTCAGCCCGGTCTGGCCCAGGCCAGGGACTGGGCCGGAGACCAGGAGTTGGGGATTGCTGCATTACGCCACATTGGCTCAAACCACATACAACATACAAAAAAGATACATATTTTCTCCATATACAGTATATAAAAAACATATTGTACTGTATTTTGTTTCCATTCTAGCATATGTGCAAGAAACAAGAAGCAAGTATGAATGGGTAATAAAAACCTTTGATCTTTGTAGGTGAATGCTTGCAAAATTATAGTCAATTTCATTGCTGTATCACTGCTCCACTAGCAGTTCTGAAAATCATTTCTGGACTGGTACCATCCGGCTAGATCATCTGATTATAACAGGTATGCTTCAGTGAGTTAAGCTTTGTTCTGATAAACACAATATCACTTAGTTTTAATGGCCAGCTTACTACTATTACTGTGTTAAAAGTAGAGGTGTATAATTTGTGGCTTTGGCTAATCTGGCTGAAGAATTCTAGGAGTTATAATCCAAAAACCCAAACTTGTATACTTCCAGTTCAAATGTGGTTGAAAATATGAACAGCTGAACAATGACAATGAAAAAACTGCATTAATACTGTATCACCTTACCTGGGGGGAGGGAAGTACTGAGAGTATTAGAGAGATGTTTGAAATTTTAAAAAAATACAGCCAGTCAAGAATGTACAGCTTTATATATGTAGATTGACATCAGATGATCAACAGTGCTGCCCACTTACCAAAGATTCTTAATCTGCACCATTTGGGTGCTCCCAGATGACGTTTTTATTGGCCTTGTTTATGGAATTTTACTGTACTTCTATCTGTAAAACTATAATGATTTTCCATGCCTTCTATTTTCTGTTATTCCTCCAAAAATCATGCTAAGGAGAGAAAGATAGCATAGCTGTACAATACCCTTGTTTGTCAGCTCTAGATCCTCTCCCTATAGCATCACTCCTTTATATTGTGTAAAAATCTCTTAGAAACCATGACATACTCATTTTCAGTAAAGAAGAAGGTTGCTTTTCTTGACATAGCAGCCATATTCTTTTTTTTCCATTGAGAAGTTCCCGACAGCATGTGTTTGCGCCCCAGCACAAGCAACCGCAAATTCTGCTGTGCCAAGCAGTCGACAACTTCCAGCAGCTATGGAAAGAAAGGGTGGGGGGAAGAAGAGTAATACATTCATAAATGAGTAAGTATAAAAGAGTAATAAAGAAGTAATAAAAACTTAGTAGAACAGGACTTAGAACACCGAAGATGGGAATGGATCCTTTACTTCATAGTCATGTATCCTTTACTTCGTACCTTTCTACTGTCTGAAGAATGAAACTACTGCAGAGTTCAACACTGAGTTAACAAACACCAACTCAGGTATTCCTAGGCTGAAAATTCAGAAAATCAATGTAGGAAACCTCCATTCCACATTTTGCCTAAAGCGGCAGTTCATGTCCCACCCCCCATATATCTGGCTACATTCATACAGTGATTCCTCCTCGGCTTCCTGAGAAGGGAGGAAGGAAATAAAAATGCACTGAAATTTTAAAGCTGATGAGGAATTTCTTAAGGGTGAAGCACAGCAGGAAGCTGTAGATATAATAAAAAGACAAAAGCAGGCAGCGAAATCTGATTGAGGATGGGCACAAGGCCTAGGCTGTGATTCCTTGCAAAAGACTGCTGTGAGTGCACAATGGGTGTACATTAGACATTAGAACACCACTTGCTACCCAGTTTCTTTCTATCAGGTCTTTCTAATGGCTAACTGCATCTACCGTATTTTTTGCACCATAAGACGCACTTTTCCCCCACAAAACAGGGGGGTGGAAAGTCTGTGCGTCTTATGGAGCGAAAAATACGGTATTTTCAGGTTCGGATACCACAATAGTAGTCTATACATAGCTGCTGGGGAGATTTCCTGTCTGACTCAGCTCCCACACACAGCTGCTTCTTTGAAGTGCATGAGAGAAAAACTACTTTTCTTTTCATCATAAAGGAAATGGAATATGGTTGAAATCATTATAATGAAGGTAAAAATGTATTTCTTTGCAATTGTAGCTATATTCTTCTTCCAGTAATAAATAATGGTTATTATTATTGTTTCCAAAAAATATATATTTTTATGTGCTGGCATATTATAGATTTTTTTAAGACCAGGCCAGCCATGGAAACAAATGAAAAGTGTATTCCTCTGGAGAATAATTTCTCATATTCATTTCAGCATGTTAGAAAGCTTCTACCTACAACCTAGTCTTCAAAGGACTGAATCAAGGGACATTGTTTCTAAAAAGGCTCAAACTGCATGGATGGAATGATTTAAAGCAGGGGTCCCCAACCCCCTGTCTGCGGCCTTATGCCAGTCTGTGGCCTTGGCAGGACCAGGCTGCGGAGACAGATCTCCCCCCTGCACACCCACACACCTGCATGGGTGCCCTGCCCACCCGCACATCTGCCTCCCACAAGTGTGCCCCGCCCAACTGTGAGCACAGGGTGCCCCATCCCCCCAACCGGTCTGCGGTTCGAAAAATGTTGGGGACCACTGATTTAAAGGACCACTGAAAAATAATGCCTATATGCCACTGAGTCAATGACCTCCAAAATATCATATATTAACAACTCTGCTCAGATTCTGCAAACCAACAGCATCTCATGTTAGGGTCTCCTGTCCTCTTACTGCCCCCCCTTTCCCAGGCCATAATCTTTTTTTCCGCTCAGTTTTGTATTTTCATTATGTGTGTGTGGTATAATAGCCTCAGTCTACTAACTTTTGCTATAGGGAGACTTCAGTCTTGACTTGATTAAGCACCCACCTTTCTAGCTGTCTGTGGTATCTGTAAGGCTCTCCCCCAACACCACATATCAAATTACAGTGGTGCCTCGCTTAACAGCGATAATCCGTTCCAGGAAAATCGCTCAGCCTTCCATCCTTCCGAGGTCGGTAAAATGAGTACCCAGCTTGCTGGGGGAGGGCAATGTGTAGCCTGTATAATTAAAAATTGTAAACTGCCCGGAGAGTGCTTGTAGCGCTATGGGGCGGTATATAAGTCCAATAAATAAATAAATAAATAAA